ATGTTTGATATTATACTTTTGTTCAAAAGCTACCAAAAAAAATCTATAAGAACACACGGAATGAATTATTACATAAAACCCAAAAGAAGCACATCGACCACTGACAAACCGACATGAAACTTAACTCTTGATGGAGAATCCATAACGACCGATTCAAATGTGCAGCGATCCCATCTGTCAACACCATAGAAATATTTTATCTAGATAAAAATAATTTGTCCGAAATAGATTAGACACGAACCAACTCATAAATTTTGTACGCGTGTTCGTGGCTAGGATAAATATTTTCCGCGAAAACGGCGGCAGATGTGAGTTTTGTGCTTTGATCAGAAATTTCTTTGTAATTTGTATGATCATTCATGTCGGTTTGTCGGTGCTTTGACTGAATCCATTTTTCCATTCAATTTGAATCTTCATTCGTACGCCAAAGTGAATTAAATGGTGTTTCAATCCATAAGAAAGGAATCAGAATTCGTGGGCCGAGTTTGAAGTCAAGAAAGGGTTTTAGATTTTTGACAATATTTCGATAATTTGTGACTCCTTATCAAATCTAACGGTATGTACGGAAATGTAATTACATTTGGAAGACATGTAGTGGAAACATTCCATTTTGTGTGTGCTAAAAAAAAAGAGACAAGGTGGGGGTTGTGCATCAGATTTAACCAATATACATTTACGGAGCGCTATGTGAAACCGCTTGCTAGACACTTTAAGCTAGAGTTTTAATCTTTGGTTGACTAAGCACACAGCATGACATATTGGACGCATAGTTTTGTCAACTCTTTCGTTTTCATTTGCAACTTTTCAGAAAGTCAAAATCCGCACAAAAAACTTGACTTCCACGATATTACCATAGAGGTAACTCTTGGTAACTGCTTGTAATTATTGAAAATAATTGATTTTCCCTCTTCTATGGACATCACTTCTATATGGACATCACTTCAATATTCTCTATGGACATTACTTAGGCTCTGAACCATTTGGCGAATTATTTTAACTTTTGGTCAAAATTTGACAGATGGAAAGTTATTGATTAACCCTGCTATCCGAGCGTGGTTACTTCTGACAGAAAATAAGTTAAAATTTCCGAAAAAAAATGCAAAATGCAAAATTTCCGAAAATCTTGAGACTTGAGGTAAGTAAGTATGTTGCAGTTGCTAAATATAATCAATTTTGCTGTTTTTTCCCTTGATTTTTTTTTCCGTCGATCTTGTTTTCCGTACTGAGTACCAATGCTCCCGACGCCTGGAAGGCAGCTCCCACATCTGGACCCTACATATCGACCCATCAACTAATTAACCGGGGACCAACGGCTTTACTTCCCTTCCGAAGGATGATCAGTGAAAAAGAAAACAAAACATAAAAAAAAAAGTTGGCCATATTATTTCCGGAGTGATTTGAGATTTGAGCGTAATTGCATTTGTAAACAAACACGTCAGTCACCGATTTCTCGCGAATAAAAGCTCAATCTCGAAAAGTAATAACACTATGAGGTAGAGGAATGATTCCTCTATCATTTGGTATAGTTTGTTAGTGACATTGAGCTTTTATTCAAGAGAAATCAGTAATTGACGTGTTTGTTTTCAAAAGCAATTACGCCCAAATCTCAAATCACTCCGGATTTTTGAATCAATAAACATAGTTTTATTTCTACTGCGTGAATTGTCAGACATCATAAAATAAATATGATTGAATCAACAAGAATTAAAAACAAACATATTTTTGTTGTTGACCCAGCTGCCAAATTTGACAGCTTACGTCAAAACCATGAAAGCTCTTGTAAATTCGAAAAGATTTTCTTTTTGATTTAACAATCCATGGGTTTTGAGGAACAAAAATACTGGATTGTTGAAACAATAATTTCTTTTTGCAGCCAAAACTAAATGAAATTCTTATGGATTTTACGTCAAATATTATTACGTTTAAAATATTTTTTTTCTGCGTGTAGCTAAATGTGTAGGCACCCTGTAGATAGACGAAGATTATCAAACGTTAAAAAGATTAGTAGAAGCACAACACCTTCGAATTGTTCGAAAATTAGAACAAAATGTAGGCATCGATTAAACTCTCATATCCTACACACTGCAAGAAGAATGATCAAGCTTGAAATAATTTCACCCTAAAAAAGTTGAAAAAGTGACTGTGGTGACTTGACTTTAAAAAGCAGCATTTTTAGTGACTGGCTTGAAAAAAATGACAAAGTCCCTACATAGTGACTCGCTACCATTGCTCTGTTGATGCAACATAATATAACGTGGACCCCCGGTAATCTGACCGTTTTTAATATGTACACACTTAATCTAGCTCGGTAAAATCTCCAACAGCCGATTACCTCGGCATTTACCTTTGCTGATATCTCTGCAAAATATCTGTTTGTTAGCTGATATCTCAGCAAAATGTTATTTGTTAGCTGAGTCTCGGCCATTGTTTTACTGAATCTCAGCAAAATAAATTGCAGAACTACTCGGCTGTTGGAATCTCGGCGAAAAAATTTAAGTGTGTACACACTTCAAGACACACTTAGCTTTTCCTACCGAGCTCGGCAAATCTAGGCGAAAATAAGATTCACTGAAATCTCATCAAAACTGACATTTGATTGCTGAGTCTCGGATAATGCTTAGCTCAATCTCAGCAAACAAATGAAATGTTTGCTGAGATCTCAGTAAAACTTTTTTTGCTCGTGGTTAAAAGTGACATTTCGAAAGTTATTTTCTATGTTCGAAAATCCCCGTGCTGTTGATCGACCGGTTTTCAACCCACGGTTGTCAAAATTTAACTTCTTGTCTGTCAGAAGTAACCACACTCGGATAGCAGGGTTAATCGATAACTTTTCATCTGTCAAATTTTAACCAAAAGTTAAAATAATCCTCGAAATAATCCACCAAATGGTTCAGAGCATAATAATTGCTCAAACGTCAGCATGTGAAATGGAGGAAAGCCAAATGGAACGATGCAAAACGGAACTCAGAATCAAAATAAAACAGCAAATAAGGCTACCAGAAACATGCATTTCTGATGCTTATTGGGTTACTAGAAGTCCAATTAAAAAATAAACTCGTTAATATGCATGAAGTGACGCTCAGATTAGCGGCGGTCCACGGTATTCGTAATCGCAGAAGGGAATACTTTTTGGCTGAATCCATCCAATACATCGTCAACAGTTTGATACACATTTGCAACTAAAAACTTAAGGTAACACAATGGATCACATCATTCGAGCAGTTCAAAATGACATTTTCTACCACTCGAACTTTAAAGTGGAACAATATTTTAATATTTGTTCTTCTACAACCTCGAGAAAATAGGGTCTTATTTGTAAAATACTTGAAAAATCTAGAATTGATTGTTTCATTTCAGTAAAATCGCTGGTAGAAGGTCGTCCCAAAACTGCTCGACAATATAATTAATTGCTCCTCCCCCCTTCCAGGTTTTGCAAATTCCCCCCGGTTGTAAACTGAAGCTAAAAGTCTTCGTTGTTAATCGTGTATTTAATCACGGATCATGTAGAGAATAAATATCTTAAGCTGGGTTTAGACTAGGCAAGTCAAATGATCAACTCAGTTGAATTCAATGTGCTTGAAAAGTTGAGCCTGGATCTTTTTCAATTCAAGTGAATCAAGTCAGTTGAATGGCATGGTTTACACGTTCAATTCGCGCTCAAGTCAGTTGAATTCAAATGACTTGATCAATTGACTTGCCCTGTCTAAACCCAGCTTTATACTATACCCTCTCTAGTTTATATGTAAACGAAAGGGGCCTGGATGAGCCCCTGCCATAAGATGGAAAACCGTGAATTCTTTGGTGCAAGCAATGGAAATATTTACCTTATTTGACAAAACCCAGGTAATCATGACGTTTGATTATTGGAAAAAAATTGAATGAAGAAAAGAGACCTACTAGTAATACATACGCTGCTACACGGCAAGAAAAAAGTACCCAAAAGTAAGTTCTTTTCGTTCATCTCGAAACTATAGTGCAGGAACCCAAAAGTAGGTAAAGCGGGTCAAAGTAGTTTTCATTTACTTGTGTGGTATTCGTATGGAATTTTCCACTCGCTGTCTACCCAAAAGTAAGTTGGTTTTACCCAAAAGTAGGTAAATATGATTATACTCAACGTTGGGTGGTTTTGCTCCTCCGTTTTTGACAACATTAGAAGGAGAAAAGGAGACAAATTAGGTAAAAGTGAGCTAGCCGTTGGTTACTTTTTTCTTAGCATGTAAGAGAATAGAGGCTAAATCTTTGAAGCGATCGACAATGAAGATATGTGGCACAGGCATTTGAGCAAGAGAAAGTGTAAATAGATCAAAAACTTCGATGGATGTTTAGAGCTCACTATGAAAGCTAAGGGTTTAATTTCTGTCATCCTTAAATTATTGTGGTTAACTGATACGCGTTTATGAGGAATATTTGAATGACAGCCAATGGAATTTTTATCCCTTCATTTTAAGTGTCACCAAATATTCTTTTTTGGGCGAGATGCATGACGCAGCACTATACCTAATTACAAAAAAAAATTATGAATTCAGTCCTACCCTGTTGGTTAGATTCTTAGACAATATGATAAAAACAAAATGCAAGATAGGAATTGATGACTTGTTAGAAAGGCAACCATGTAGCAGACGCCGCTACGAACATGCAATGAGAGTTGATAGCGAAGCGCAATCAGAAAATTTACCACAATACAACATTTCCAAAATTCCAAAGTGTACCCAGATCTTAAAAGCTCATCGTTATCATTCACATAATCAACTGTTTGTCAATCTTTTTTTTTTCTTTGGATGTGCCGAGAAAGCGGGATAGTTGTGTAATGTTTGTGTGTAGATAACAATAAGTGTGAGATAAAAAGATATACTGTAGGATTCGCGACAGAAGTGATGCAAATGTTTTTTTTTTAGGATAGGATTAGACACCACATGGCGGCCGAACTGACGGTCTAGCCAATTTTTCTGACAGGTTCTTTGCCGATCCCAAAGTATTAAAAGAAAGATAACGGTATTTACCTTGATCCACGACTCGAGCGACTTGCCGTACATCTCCTGGAAAGCCTCCTTGATATCTCCCAAGTCGATTTCCGAGCGGCTAACGATAATGCGGATCAACGTCTTGTCGTTGGTACCGAGCCCGGCCATCGAGTTGTGGAGACGCTTGGCGAAGTACTGAACCTTCGATCGGACGCAGCGAACTGTGTTGTGAAATGGTTATTCAGTTATTACACCTTTGCTCAGTTCAAAAGAGTAGAAACTCTTACCGATAGCCTTGAAGCCTTCCTCGATAGCGCCACTGAATTCACGTTTGATGGCGTCCTCGATCGTATGTCCAGCCATGCTTTCATAGGTCTCAAACACACCGCGCAGCTGTTGGTATGATCTGGTGACCAGGATCTGGTTGAAGATCGATTCATCAGTTCCCCATTGGCCTTCGCCAGCTTCAAACAGAGCCTGGGCATCAGCGGCCGCCTCACCTTCATCGACGCCCTAAATGATGAGAAAATATGTCATTATCGTGCCACTAATTGAAGAGTGCATTCTTGGAACATACAGTATTTTCATCACGATTACCCTGAACCAACGAGACGCACAGGCGCTTGAAGGCACCGCTGGTGTCTCCCTTCAGGTCCGACTCCAATGAAACTCCGTACAACTGTTCATAGAATTCGGCGATCGTCTTGATGCCATAGTTCGACAGCGTGCACAAAATCTCAATTATGGCTTCCTCGTCTGTGCCGATTCCCGAGATGGCATCATGCAGTTCCTTGGCGTAAAACTGTGGCAGGGGAGTCATCAGAGCCAGAATAACATCCTCGAACTTACCGCCCAGCTCGGACTTCAGATCGCTGATCAGATCCTTTCCGTAGGACGTCTTGAAAGTCTGGGCAATCTCCAAACGCTGCACAATACCACGACGGGCCAGAACTTCAATGATGGCTTTCTCGTCGGTTCCAAAGCCCTTCATGGCCTTACGGAGAGTTGCGGCATCCTCGGTGGGGTCGAAGGGATCGGCCGGGTAGACGGTTGGGGTGCACTAAAATTATCATCATAAATCATTAATCACGCACACATAGCTTCACAATCCAGAACAGTTTCAGGTGTGTCATTGTCATTGGTCTCATGAATCCTTCCGCTTCCTAGCCTCTGTCAGCCTATTCTAACTCACCGGTATTATGATATACTTATCCTCTTTCGGTTCTTCCTTCTCGTACTCTTCGTCCGAATCTGACATGTTTCCTATCGAGTCAAACTTATCATACAGGTAAATCCTTGAACCAGTATGCCTGGACCCTCGCAGAAGCCCACGGGTCCTCTGCACGAGCTGCTCGCATGAATTATTCAGCACCTTCGAGTGGGAGTGTATTGAGCGTAAATTAACTTTAACGTTACCGCCCGTTCCCATAATTAACTAATCTTCCAAAGAAAATACAAATTTTCATGCAGTAGTGGTAGCATTCCCGTCTACAATTGAACTATCACTGAAACAGCGAGTGCGGAGTATTAATTTTCATTCCCAACAGACGGGTCATCGCCTATTCATGATTGAAGAAAGTAGTGATCGATGATGGGCCAACTTAGCGTAATCAAAACACTATTTCCATATCGGGTAACCTTCGAGCCTTTCGACGAAAAATGAAACTCTTGGGAGGGGGAGTAGGGGATGATTGGTGAATGGCGTGGGGGTACTTCCATTATCGCTCGTTTTCTAACTCGAATCACGAACCACATTGGTGGATGAAGGTGGAAGAATGAGTTATGATTTATTTCTATTTTCTGGTGCTGGTGGCTGAAAGGTAAAACTAATCAATACACCTGTAAGATTGTAGTTTCCCCCTTAACGTAGCGAAAATAATTTGGAACACGTTGAAAATGATTCGCTGAGTAATAGAAATTAACACAATTTTGTTAAAGGAATTTGTCATGGGAGTCGGCTTTTCCATTTTCCAATTAGAAAGCAATCATGTTATTCCGTTTCGTAAATTTGACCCACGTAAAGGGTCAGCTAAGATACTAGCAACACACATGTTCTATAACATTCTATGAAACCTTTGTATGGTTGGATTTGTGTTACTTGGGGACCTATTCGTTAGAGATAGAATAATATGCGTTACTAATCAACAATAGTAAATTTGCGTCAGAATTTTGTTAGGTAAATTTAGTTAAGTTTAGTTACCATATTCATCAGATTTTGTGAATAACTTTCATTGCTTAATGAAATGTATTATTATTCACTTAACTATATGGGTCGGTTTTTTTTATATCGAAATTCGAATATGGAATAAATATCGTAAGTCTACAGAAATACTGAGTTATGCATTTATTCAATTTTTAAATGACAATCATTAAATTTTCTCTGGTTTTGAAAATCTTTGAAGTCTTATCGGAGTAGAAAAAATTTGCAGATGCTGGAGTTCACAAAATAAGGTTCAGATTTTAAAAATATTTCAGGTTATAAGACTTGAAAAATTGATAAATTAAAAAAAAACCTGTTTTCAAAGACAAAGTTCTAAGATTTTGAACTTCAAAAATCAAGCTCCAGGAACTCAAACAAATCTAAAAGGATCAGGTTCTTTCAAGAAACAAACTTCCAATGCATATGAAATTTTCAAAATCAGAGATAAACACTTTTCCAGTGTAGGTGTAGTGTTTTAGAGGTTTGTTTGGATGTTTTCGTGGGATCGGTGGCCTAATGATTCCTTTTTATTAATCGAACGTACAAAATCGCATACGTTCAGTCCAAGGGCGTAGCCAGGTTTCGAACTAGGGAGGGGCGAAAACAAATTAACTATGGAAAATTTGGCCGAATGCCCCCTCTGGCTACGCCTATGGTTCGGTCAGAATGATGCAAAAAGCAATATTCTCGGTAAAAATATGACGTAAACACTACTCGCTTGGTTGTCCCAGCCAATAAAATACTGTAGAGGCCCATATTTGACGCAGCTAAGATCAAATCTAGATAAACATTTCAAAAGGTCCTATCTCCATTGATCGATTCTCTTCATCGACTTTCTCTTTCGTCAATAGCTCAGCTGCAAAACCTTTCCCTGTTGAATTTGACGTTTTGGACGCTAGATAAGAATCCCCTTTATCAAACGCGCGAAATCTGTTTGCATAGCAGTGGTTATGCAAAGAGAAAGTCAATGAAGAGAATCGATCAAAGCAGATAGGACGATTTGAAATGTTCATCGAGAAATTGAATGTTTATTTAAAGAATCAACACGGGATTAATTTCTTTGATTTTTTTTTTTATTGCAGTACCACTACTTGAAATATCTAAGAATAGGGAAAATATAGAACGGGACGAGATTGTTAAAACATAATCCCAATTTAACGCACTATAAAAATGTAATATATTCAACAAATTCAATAAATAATTATGTATTGTTAAAAATTCCGTTAAATACGGAGCGGGTATCAGACATTAATTTTTTTTTAAATAATGAGTTTGACGTTTCCGAAACAGATTTAGACCATCTAGTAGACATTGATTTATCAGCCAATGCATTCTGATCTTTCGAGAATATGTCAGAAGTTTTGCATTTTCCAGCGAAGAACTATTTAATCGAAACAGTTCAATTTAATTATTCTTCAAAATAGTAATGCGTTGTCGACAAACATGAATCAGAGTGGGACATATGGTCATTACCGATTTACGATCCTTTTAACCCTTCTGTGAATGGGAGAGCCTTGCCCGGCTATCCGATGAAATGAAACAACGTTTAGGAAGTGGAAAATGATACGTTCTAACGTTTCCCATACAGTTTATTGAGTTGCTGATCGATTTTCGTACGATTTTCTTAATTTCGGATTCAATATTTTACACTGCACATAATTAGGAACACTATGAGCCTAATGACGTGGATACACTTGGATGACAAACTATGAGCATGAGCATTATTTGTATGATAATTATGAGCACTATATAAAAATTATCCAAGTGTGACCATGGATGTGCTCACAATTTATTATACAAATAATGCACATGTTTATAGTTTGTCGCGGGATAACTTAACGCAAACATCCCAACTAACAATTTTAGCTGCAACTCAGCTTATACAGGCAAAACTTAGCTGCATAAGGCAACTTTTGGCAGTATAAGCTAATCTGCAGCTAAAATTGTTTGTTGGGATCATATCTAATGTAACCTTGCAAAAGCATGACAAAATTGCATTAATAGTACACATGTAAATTTATATTCACATGAATGGAGCGTCACATTACATACAAGTTTACATTATAAATCGTGTAATTTCTGAGAAATTTCATGAAATGTTGCAAATATTGTATACAAAATGTTTCAAACATTGTATACCAGAGTGACCAACATTGCCTAAAAGTTGTTCGTTTGCGTATCACAATTAAAATTAAGAATTTTTTGCTGTGTATATTAAGTTAAGCAACTCTCGTGTATTTTTCATGATATTGATTTAAAACTACAGTAAAAGTAGAAGTGACTTTTCTCAAATCAAACGTTTGGTTTCCAATTGCATTTTTCCTAAATGGGACTGTTATGCGTTTATGCGCTGTGAAGCGGCTCATTAAATTTTGATTTTTGAAAAATGATTACTTCAACAACAACAAATTCTGAACCTACTGTTGATGAACATTTTCTATAACGCATCACCTATACCCCTTGCATCAACGTCCGAATCGTTATACAACAACCACCGTCGTCGTAAATTATCTATTGTTGCAGATAAGTTTTCTCATGGCATCCCATCCAACTTCACAATGTAGCGGTTATAGTGTAGGAATATGATGGCACTGCATGCTGGCTGGCGTCGACAAGGCTAGACGCAAAAAAATCCAACATATCTCTTGACACAAATACATCCAGTTCCACCCGTGTGCATGTCCAACACCATGAAGGTCGGCCACTCACACCAGCTCCTCCGATTCCGGTTGTTACTAAAGCCCTCTAGTTAAAGTATGAACGACTGTCACCACAAAACTGAAAAAAGCTGTTCCAATCGAGCAAAGCGGTGCATTTAGACGGTTCGATTGGAACAACTTTTGACAAACGTCCATACTTTTACTGTAGGGGTTTAGTTATTACATGTTGGAAGATACCTTCCAGTATTGGCGAATCAAAGTTAGCCCCTGTGGAGAATAAAAGAACTATGAAAGTGATGATGATTTCAAAATTTGTGGAATTTTGCAATTGGATATTTTTTTTAAATCTGGTTGCAGCTACGATAGTATGAAAGTTGAAATCTATGAAATTATATTGTAATATTATAATATAATATTAATAATATTAATATTATATGAGCCCTTCAGTTTTCTACTAACGTAGCAATAACCAGATTTTATTAATATAATTTGATCACAAAATAAATGCGTTTTACAATTGCACCTCACGGTGCAAAAATTTGAAATCATCATCACTATCATATCTCCACGGTGGCCAACTTTGATTTACCAATACGCATAAACGGAATAAATCATCTACCATGCGCTTCCTAGTCAAGCCACAGAGTAAAATTTCAACCGCGTAAACATTAGTCACCAAACACGGCTGAACTATTCACACTGCCTTCCTCGTTAAAAGTATGACTAAATAGTTCCGCCCTCGACAATAATTGTTCATACTTGTTCAATATGTAGGACATTCTTAGTTTCAATCTTCCTTGGCATGTTACAATAGTGGTCGTAGTTTACAATCGCGACTTCCACCCATTAACGCGCCTTCCTGCTCGCTATGATGATGTAATATGGAATGGAGCGTTTCTAGACTTAATGGATTTCTCGGTTTATGATTAGAGTGTTGAGCCTATGTACACACTTAATCTAGCTTGATAAAATCTCCAACAGCCGATTACCTCGGCATTTACTTTTGCTGATATCTCTGCAAAATATCTGTTTGTTAGCTGATATCTCAGCAAAATGTAATTTGTTAGCTGAGTCTCGGCAATTGTTATAGTGAATCTCAGCAAAATAAATTGCAGAACTGCTCGGCTGTTGGAATCTCGGCGAAAAAAATTAAGTTTGTAACGATACCACCCACCCTTTCAAGCTGAAATGTGTCTGTGGTACCTGTGTCTAGAGTTTTTCGGAAATATCCCACTACTTTTTCTGTTAAGTCTTTCAAATTAGAAAAAAAAAGATCTGGTACATCTTTATGAACTAAATCGTGCCTATTTGCAATCGATTGTAACCAGTTTCAGACAAATTGATTAAAATTTGACTAAATTAAAATCAAAACGAAAAAAACATGCCTTTAGCGTGCTATGATGCAAAAACAAATGTGTTTTGCTGTGGTTAACTGCGCGCACGCTGAATAGATAGAAAGAAGATTGATGACAATTCTGAAGATTTCCTGCAAAAAGATGATGCGCGATGAAAGTGGATGCGAGAAATGAAAGGAGATTTTTCGAAGATTATTATTATTATTTAACTTTATTAAGGAGGCTTTCAGCCTTGGGCTGGTTCGCCTCCAAAGATTTTTCGAAGATTGATTCGCTAGCGTGAGATTTGTTGAGCATCTAGAATTGAGATTAGGATGTGTCGCCCCCCGCGGTTATTTTAATTGAATCAGATTGATTTTTTTTTACGGAACATGCATTTCAAAAACTATTACTAAAGAATGTACACAGCGGAAGTTGGTCAATAAGCCCTAAACTTGATTCAATTTTTATAAAATAGCTATATTTTGCCATGTTGAGCGATAAAAAAAGGCACATTTTTATCGATTTTATTCTGATTATAATGAAACCGATGGCTATCAATCAACAACATTATTTTAATGGGCTGAGGGAGTGCTCTGCTTGGTGTAGCAATAGCAACTACTTTAAATAAAAAGTAGCATAACATTCAATCAATTGGAATCAACGGTGCACTTTACACCACCTGATAAAGTTGGTTGTTGAACTATCTAAATTTGATTGCATTACATGCTTTGCAACTGTGGCTACTAATGAGTGATTCATCACGATCAAATAATGATTCACATGATAAGTGTAATGATTTTTATAGAGAAGAGGAATGCGAAAAATGATCCGCACGCTCGTCTATCGTAGTGTAGATGATACCTTGAGCAGCACGTGACCTTCAAGATAATATCTACCCGTTGTGCTGTATTGCAACGCGATGCTAATTAGTGTACATATTTATACGATATACGATGTTACTACATGTAGTCTAAACCACGTCATGTATTACTGTCGGCGTGTAGTGTACTATTGTAGTCGCTCTGTGATGTGTCTCTACAACTCTGCCTAGGGTTTGGTCTGCTACACTGTGCTTATGTGTTAGAGTGTTTGTTTAGAGTTTGAAACTGTGTTTAACCTCAGTGTTGACGATACTTACTTGGAATGGATAGTACTGCGATGAACTCATGATTACTTTTGGTTTGTGTTGTTATTTGTTCCTGTCAAAATATAAACATTTTTGGTTAGTTATTTTCATGGATGCATTAAAATAAAATCGATTATAAATTTCATCTGAAATAGTTTCAACAAATTCGAGTGTCCAGTGCTGGTCATAATAATTAATACACTGTGATTTTGTTTGTCTCTCCATAAAAGTTCAATAACCTGTTACTTTTCAGTACGTGCATACAATCTTTTGAAATTGTAGCTTCTGTTTGATCAAATATTCAAGGTTAACAAGGTATGGTATGTGGCTAAATTTCATATTATTTGTGGCTTAATTGCTTCTTATGTGATTGTCCTTTTCCAAACTCTTATTGCTTGAATAATGAACTTGAACAATAATGTTATTCTTTTACACTGCTCCACATTTATTAGAATCCCGACCGCTATCTAGCGTTGTTACCGGGAAAATACGGGAAAGCTAAGCGTGTCATCCGGGAGAAATTCCATGTGGAGTTGGGCCTCGACATGTACACTGGGGTGCGGTTAATTTCCTCAATCGGAAGGGGAATGCATTTAGTGACGGGGGCCATCGCCCTAAGTGGAAAGGCAACTGGATGAAAAACAACTGTAAGACCAGGGAGTAGAACGCATTTCGGTTCGAATAGTAGTAGGGGAATTTACGTATTCTCGGCAACATAAGCAGCGACCTTCTTTCTATAGCCTTTTTCTCTAAGGAACGCACACATATGCAGTATTGGTTTGTTTACAATCTCTTGCTGCCAGCTGCTCTAACAATTTCAGTCGAAAGAATTGTCAAAAACTGTTTTGAAACGCTTTAACAAAGCTCCAATCTTCTCTAGTGAGAGCGAGTATTGTCGGCAACCAATTTTTCTTCGGCAACCGTTCCATTTGAACTGCATGTAAATCTGCTGTTCTATTATCGGCAACTCGAAATCAGCTACAATTTGTAGTGCGTGCGTTTCATTTCAAGAAAACCTTGCTAGATTGCTTTTTCTCAGTGGTAAAAATATAGTCAAATTGAAGCTGAAAGCATAAAGAATCGTTTGCAGGCATTCAGCGAAGCGTTTTCGTAAGAAAATCGAGTGAAAATAGTGTTTCAATTTAGGTTGCCGAAAATAGTCTGGCATGCCGAAGCCGTCATTTCCCCTACGTATGCTGGTGTAGTGGCTGGAGGTGCATCGTTGGACAGCAACAGTGAAAATCGACGGGACGACTCCGGAGACCGATAAAGCAAACGAAAACAATGCCCAGCGGCCACTACCAGCACCGGCAAAAAGCGGTTTGCATATCAGGCGGGAAAGACATGCACAGGAGTATTAAAGTTAAAAAAAACTCGGTTATAAAATATTATTAGCCCCTCAGCTTCATAGAGCCTACCTATTTGGTTTTGTAAACACATGTTTAATATTCATGAAATTATAAAGATTTCGAGCTTATTTTTATAAGGAACCCATACTATAAGAAATCGACTTCGTGGAACACTTCGGATCCACGGTTTTAAAATTTTAGAACATAGATAGGGTACGTGTGCCAGTTATGGATTTAGTGCTCCAATTTTTGGCCCTAGGGCCCTATAATTTGAAATAATTTTTCATGGTTTTATTTGCAAAATCTATGCTCTAACCTTTTGAAATAAATATTATAAATAAATATAAATATAAAAATTAAAATGAAGATATCACCAATTAGAGGACCACTAGGGTCAAAAACTGGCTCACTTACCCTATCAAGAAGTATTTAAAACAATATTTTGAGGGTTATTCCCTATACTTCCAACCATTTCGTTACCGTCCATAACATGATTCCACTCAGCGAAACAGGAAAGGTTAAAGAATTGCAGTACATCTTCGAAACAGCGAGACTTATCGAATACAAGGAGACCACAATCCAGGCAATCATCGATAAAAAAGCGAAAGTTCTACAAAAGGGGATTAATTAAACCCCTCACCAGTGTTCACTCGGCTGTCGACAAAAGTAGGCCACTCTCGATGTGTGCCAGGCGATCGTTTGTTTTCTCGGCAGCAACCATTGTGTGGTCCTCCTCATTGTTCTTCATCAGCAGTTCTTTCGATGCGTCGTCGACTTTGGAAAGCAATCGTTTCGTGATGAGTGTGTCAGTGTTGACCACGTTTTGCGTCCATTGCTGCAATGGAAGCGCTTTGCCCCACGATGGCGTAACTGCCATACAATGAAACCACTGGAAGCGGCTCTAGTTCTGATGGAGGAGGCTTTTTGGATAGCGGAAGATAAAGTGTTTATTGTGTTATACCTTTTGACTGTAGTTTTAAGATGTATTGTATAGTGACCAAGAATCCTCGGCTCTGAAAAGTTAATTCGGTTGAGCCTTATCAAATAAATTAATGGACAAAAAATAAATAAAACCCTCACCGCAACATCCGCACCCCTGAAACGAGTGTCCGTTGAATTTGAACCGAATATTACTAGTAAGTTAAGACCACAGACAAACAGACATAACACATTAAATGTTTCTCACTGTAAAACATCGTCGCTAAAACATATCCGCCATCTGTTGAGTACACTGTGGTGGATAGTACGCTGAACAGATGGCGGTAGTTTGAAAACGTCAAACGCAAGGGAATTGACTATGCGTGCCACAGGTGGTGGTACTACCAACTAAGATACTTTGAAATTGACCGATAAATGCTTGTTCGATGAACATCTTGTGAATGTTATGTCTGTTTGTCTGTGTTAAGACCATGGTTGAAAAAAAAATTAGATCAGATTTTGTTTTTACCAGTAGACAAAACCAGTTAAAATCATTTTTAAGATCCACTTAAGACCCTGCTACTTAATGTTTTGGGTAAAGCAGGTGTATATAAAATAAGATGTAATAATTGTAACAAAGTGTATGTAGGACAACCTAAGAGAACTTTAGCAAACTAGACTTAAAGAACATATAGCGAAGGTTAATAGGGCCAAAATGCAAGAGGAAAAAGGCCTACCATATGATTTCAAATCAAAGGTTGCAGAACACATCTTCACCGAGGACCATCAACTGATGACGCAGGGCATCACGGGGCATTGGATGTTGCAGAGAGCCTCAACGGGTTTCAACTATCGGAGTTAAATTTAACTCGTGGTTAACAGTGTTAATTGCAATGTTCGAAAACCCCGGTGTTATGGAGCCACGGTTGTCAAAGTTTAACTTTTGTTTGTTGTTAGGATAATTCGACAAAATCACAGATATAATGATTTACTACAGCTGCTAATTTCCTTTCTGGCTAGAAGTAAATTGTAGTTGATGCAAAAGTCCTCTGTTGCCAAGTGAAAGGGGAGGGAGTCTTTCGAAAACCGAGATGCGTATATGTACCACTGTTTTTCTCTGACGTAACTCTTCCCAACAAACAATTTTAGCAGAAGATCAGCTTATACAAGCAAATATTGCCTTATGTAGCTAATTTTTGCCTGTATAAGCTAGTCTGCAGCTCAAATTGTTTGTTGGGTTATACACAGACTCTAAGACAGCCTTGCATGGCAAACCAGGCTTCAGTCCAATTCAATTTTATTGGCTTTGCAATTGTTTCTTGCTCGTCGTGAATGTGGTATATGTAGGTGACTTCTTAAACTAAACTTGTCAGCTTCAAAGTAGTTAAATAGCTAATCATACAATTGCAATCGCACTGTGATTTATTGAACCGTAGATCACCACAAGGGGTAATCGACTGTTGAAACATTTCTATCCTTGTTATAACACAAATTCAAGCGTCTGTTAAGTCCATGTCGTGACCCTGCCATTTAGAACACGAAAGCTGAACTACAAACCTACAGATTTCCTTTCAGATGTACAATAATTATTTCACTAGTGCATGAAATCTTACTGCGGAATTTCACGATATTGGCATCTGTAAGCTGAAGATTATGAAAGCTTTTCTTTTTATTTTGCCGAAAAGTAGATGCTGATTTGTGATTTATATCTAGTCAACATTAAAGTAAACAACCCTTTTTAAATGTTGCTGCCTAGTTAGCGATCCACCGGTGAGGTGAGCATAAAAACTATCAAAATGATAGTTTAAAATATTGCACGGTTAAGGTTACAGTGCTTTTATTTTCACATGCATAAGGATAAGCTTCTGCTGGCAGCTCTGAACTCCCTATGTTTCGATTATCAGTTTAGAAGATTTTGGATTTTAAAGGCACATTTCGAGCTGATGAACCTCACTTTGATAGTTGAACTTTATTTAAAGGCATTTTTTAGTGTACAATTCCAATAAGATCTATGGAAGAGGATAACATTCTAACAAGCTCCACCAACTGCTCAGCCGGCAACATTGGTGTACTTGACGCGAAGAATAGGGCAAACAATCTAGGCTACTATGTCACAGTGCAAGATGCAGTGTTGCCTTGAAAGCAGTCCATGAATCATATCAGAAAGTTATCCGCTTCTAAATCAATTAATAACTAATTTACTTGACGACCAATCAAACTGTGGTTTTCAGAAAAGTTGTTAACAAAATTCACATAAATACAGATAGCAACCCAAGCAGATTGCGACTGAAATATAAGTTGCACACCAGTTACCACAATTGTTCAGTGACAAATGTGCTAACCCGTGAAAAATTCTGGCGAAAGGTCAAGACGATGAGAACAAAAAAAAAATCCTTTTTCCCATAGTAATTTCCATATAAACTTCAAAGGGCCAGTGCATCCAAATCATCTCAAATTTTGATAGAATGTTCAGGACATGATTTGAAATCGATTGAGCTTGGTGGAGAAAAATCAATATTTTGAAACACCATAATGCTTAATTCTTTGAACATATTTTTCTTATTCCTGACATTTTAAGTTCATATTCACACTGTATAACTTATTTTTCACACTGTATTATACACGGAAGTCCAGAATTAATAATTGAAAAAATAATATATAGATAAATTTGGTCATTCTTTGTTTACAACAGAACGATTAAACATCAGTACTTTTCCACTTCAGCAGATATTACAGCTGAGAGAAAGTCTTGTTTTATTTAGGCATCAAAAATTTAACCATTCTTTATTACCCCTATATAAGAGAGCGCTTTTATATTCAAGTTAAAAAACATATTCCAATTCAAATGGAATGCCACACTGATGTCACTCCACCAATACATAGTCATGGGTCAGCCATCTACGGACAGATCGTGTTGCCGTGACCAGAGTAGCGTTAATAAAATAGCACAAAATCACCGTTAAATTTAGCATCATGTGGTGTACACTTTGCCGATGTGGTACTTTCTACATATTTATTTTGTTATGATTTTTTCCCCTCCTTCCAATACACATTCTATTTTGTTGTTTCATTATCGACTGTACACTTGTGGACTCATAGTGATAACATTGAACATTCAGTAGGGATATTGCATTTGGCTCTTCCACAGCTAAAATGCACTTCATACGGTGCTTAGTGATCCAATTGGAAATTTGAACACGTTTGCCCACGCTGAACTTTCCGGTGAAAGCGTGCCATGATAGTCTAAATCGATTTTCGTGCAAAGGAAAATACTCACACTTTCGATTTATGTGCAGAAGCAAATTTTAATTCTATTCGACAAGCAAAGAAACTTCCAGAGACAACTCGGCGTTGTGAGAAATGTGCTAATTGATGCTCGTCCGTTCCACCTTTTAGCACATCGATCGTTCCAACAGACGATCGTCCCGTAGAGTTATAATAAGTAGCACACAAAGTAAACCGTATATAACAAAATCAGTCGCAATGAAAAGAACACGAAGAGTTTCCTCTTTTCAGAAAATGGTCTTTTTGCACACTAATCAGCAGCTAGGTACTCTAACACAGTAGGTACTTGAAATTCGAAATTCAAATGAACTGCAAGTGTGCAGATGTTGAAACTTTCAAGATGTGAGTAATCTCTCCTGTAGGGTTTTTTTTCTTCGCACTTACAATATTTCGCACACGCGATTGAATCGTTCCGAACGGTAGGAGTGTTGAACTGAAACTGATGCAGTGGTCGGTTCCGACGACCGGTTTACTAGGTACCTATATGTTGACGATTTCGTTTCCTTCCGAATAAGTGGTTTCACTGTGGGTTGAGGCATGGAAATCGAAGAGCATGTACATGGCAAAATTTGACTTTACAAGTAAGTTATTTGAGATTCTTGAGTTCAATTGAGTAATTCATACCGTTTGACGTGTGGCAGTTCAATGTCAGGATAAGAAATTAATTTGTTTGCATGTTGAACCTACCCTAATAAACAAATACCATAAATGAACGATAAAATGGTAGAACTATTCCACCAATGGTTTGGACGATACCCTGACCAGTTAATTTTGAAGGATATTCAATCAATTTAATCATTTTTAAATAACTTCAGGCTTTAAACAGTCCTACATGAAAAGTGATTCAATAACAATTTTGCAAGAATTTTCACACCAAACCCTGGTCTCCTTAGATTTTCTATGTGGCTTATGGACAGCCCCTTCTAGAATCTTTTTTTTCCTAAGCCACTACCCCAAATAGGTGGTAATGGACTGTATTGATCATTAGGACAAATTTTGGTACGCGAGAGCATGCTTGGCATACACAGTTTTGAACACGAACTGCTCATTTGCGAATAACTTTGCACGCAGTTGACGAAACATAGTTCTTTTTTAAACAGTAGATAGAACAGATTTTAAGTTTGTTATAGATACGTAAAAAAAAAGCAGATTTTAGTTCTAGTAATAAACTGTATTTGTTTTTGCGTTGTAAAAATTAAGTGAGAAATACTCGCTGCACATCTCGGACTGTAAAAATGCATTGGTGTTGATTCAAATGTTAAGATTTATCTATTCTTTGTATATCTATAGTAAGCTATGATTTTAATCTATCAATTACTTCAAAGAAAAACAAATTTCAACAATTGAGTGAAAAGTTATTAACAAATGAGCTGTTGGTGTGCACAACTGTGCATGCCAAGCATGCGCCGCGAGCGTTTGAACGCGCAAATTCTTTTCGAAAATATTGCTGATTGCATCTGAAACTGGACTGTCCCAAAAATGCGAAAAAAATGATAAAAGTGCACGTTTCCGTCAAATCGTTTTGATGTCTTCGGAGCACATGACATCATAGAGAATAAGTGCACCGAAGACACTAAGACGATTAGACGTAAACTTGCAGTTTTATCACACTTTTTAATAAGTGAAAACGCGCCCGAATAGAAATTTACATTAGCCCAACGTTTGATTTTGATGTCTACATCAGCATCGAAATCAAATGTATGCCTGATGTCAAACATTAGAAAACATTATGATTTAGTTGTATTTAAGCAACGTAACATGGTGTATACATCAGAAATTTTGGAACAAAATTTTGCCATTCTAATGTCGGTCTGACGTCAAAAATTTCAATCTATTGACATTAGAACCAAACGTTTTAAGGATGTTTTCAGATGTAAAAAACGTTAGAACTAAACGTTGTTCGGATGTTTTTAAATGTAAACGTTTTCTGATGTTTTCTAATGTAGATGTTTCCTGATGTTAGAACCAAACGTTTTTGGATGTTTTCAGATGTAAAAAACGTTAGAACTAAACGTTGTTCGGATGTTTTTATATGTAAATGTATTCTGATGTTTTCTAATGTAGATGTTTCCTGATGTTAGAATCAAACGTTTTTCGGTTGTTTTCGGATGTAAAAAACGTTAGAACTAAACGTTGTTCGGATGTTTTTATATGTAAATGTATTCTGATATTTTCTAACGTAGATGTTTCCCGATGCTAGAACCAAACGTTTTTTGGATGTTTTCGGATGTACACAACGTTAGAACTAAACGTTGTTCGGATGTTTTCAATTGTACTTCGTGTTTGTTGTTCTCTGATGTTTTCAGATGTACAAAACGTTTAAAGTAAACGTTGTTTGAATGTTTTCAAATGTAGATGTTTACTAATGTTTTTAGATATACAAAACACTAGAATCTTACTTTTCAAATGCTTTCAATTATATTTACAACACATTAGAATTAGAAACATGATCGTGTAAACACTACACACCATTGTTGTTAGATAACATCATAAAAATGCGTACATAATAGTCAATGCTGAAGCTCCCGTTTCCCACCAGTCAGATAACTGACCTTAGCTAACCAAATATCATTGCGGCAACTCTCTATGCGGCAGGGGAACTATGCCATTAGCGCGCTAAGAGTTATTAGACCACTGACATAGGCGCCAATTTGTAGGTGACGAGGCACTTGGTGACATTACAGCGAGCTTGACGATTGTTGCAGCATTTTTTTTTAGCAAACTAACAGTTAAGGTGTGTAGTGTTTACAAGATCATGTTTCTAGCACTAATGCTTTGTACAATTGAAAGCATTGGAAAAGTTAATTCTCATGTTTTGCATAACCGAAACCATCAGAAAACATAAAATAGTACAAAAAAAATCATCCATTCTGGTAGACTATCTCTTAAATGCATACAGAATAGCCATTGCTTAAGCTCCCGTTTCCCACCAGTCAGTTAACTGACCTTAGCTAACCTAATATCATTGTGGCAACTCTCTATGCGGCAGGGGAACTATGCCATTAGCGCGCTAAGAGTTGTTAGACCACTGACATAGGCGCCTATTCGTGGGTGACGAGGCACTTGTTTACATTACAGCGAGCTTGGCGATTGTTATAGCATTTTTGAGTGAACTACCAGACAATCATGACAATAAGATCGCTGCGCCTCCAGATCTCCCTTTAAATCGACCCGCTGTGCCAATTTGTCAATAATGCATGACACTTTGGACGTGGATCGGGATGATCCACAAATGCGGAAAGTTTTGGGCTACCAGTCTTCTACCTAATTGACGAACTGCAAATATATAATAAACAAAATTATTGTGCATGAAAAATATGACAATGTACAATGCTCGAGGAACACTGGGAGTTTTCGAACGACGCGTGCTTAGGAATGCCGGACAACAATCCCGCAAAAATGGTGTTTTCCTCAAATCCGGCCGGTACAAGACGCATAAAAGTACAGCGTGCTAGGTGGTTAGACCAAGTGGAGCAAGATGTAGGAAGTGTGGGATGCTCGAGAAATTGGAGACAAGCAGTCAGGGACCGAATTAGTTGGCGCAACTTTGTTATACAGGTCAAATCTTGAGGGACGTCGGACCAGCAAAAGTAAAGTAAGTATCTTATACGTTTGCCAACATTCCACGACAATATATGATTAGGTTTTCACTTGGTATGTAATGAACAACAGAGATACGCGATAATTCGTATAGTTTCTGCGATTGATGGTTAATTTTAAATGTACGTATAGTACTATATAACAGCATAACTGGATCGTCATGTTCACCATCTGTCATTGTCTGCAAAAATATTTAATAGCAGTTACCTGTGTTGTGATACTTCCTTCAATGAAAACTAATTTTCTTGCATTGCCATGGTCATCTGGGATGAGGCTGGTCCACTGATCATTCGGAATAAGCTCTCCACACATCATTGAATCAATGTAGGATCAATGTAGATATGTAAATATCAATGTACATAGATGGTGTCATATGCAAAGTGCGAAAAGAGAATGAAAGAAATACGAAAAAGATTAGCTTCAAGAAGTAACAGTTTCATCGGATTAGTCACCAAGTCCCCCACCACTGCTATCTGCAGCCCTATCACTCCCATCCCCACGATTGCGGAAGAGAATAATAAAATTCTTGATTTAATTTAAAGAAATTAATATTTAGAAGATTTGAGTTATCGGGACCCGTATTCGGTTTCCCCATCGGCATCCGTATTCGGTTTCCCCATTGGGACCCGTATTCGGTTTCCCCATCGGGATCCGTATTCGGTTTCCCCATTGGGACCCGTACTCGGTTTCCCCATCGGGATCCATATTCGTTTTCCCCATCGGGATTCGTATTCGGTTTCCCCATCGGGATTCGTATTCGGTTTCCCCATCGGAATCCGTCTACGAAATCCCCATCGGGATCCGTCTACGAAATCCCCATCGGGATCCGTATTCGGTTTCCCCATTGGGACCCGTATTGGGTTTCCCCATCGGGCTCCGTATTCGGTATCCCCATCGGGATCCGCATTCGGTTTGCCCGTCGGGATCCGTATTCGGTTTCCCCATCGGGATCCGTATTCGGTTTCCCCATTGGGACCCGTACTCGATTTCCCCATCGGGATCCATATTCGGTTTCCCCATCGGGATCCGTATTCGGTTTCCCCATTGGGACCCGTACTCGGTTTCCCCATCAGGATCCGTATTCGGTTTCCCCATCGGGATCCGTATTCGGTTTCCCCATCGAGATTCGTATTCGGTTTCCCCATCGGGATTCGTATTCGGTTTCCCCATCGGAATCCGTCTACGAAATCCCCATCGGGATCCGTCTACGGAATCCCCATCGGGATGCGTATTCGGTTTACCCATCGGGATCCGTATTCGGTTTCCCCATCGGGATCCGTATTCGGTTTCCCCATCGGGATCCGTATTCGGTTTCCCCATCGGGATCCGTCTACGGAATCCCTATTGGGATGCGTATTCGGTTTCCCCATCGGGATCCGTATTCGGTTTGCCCATCGGGATCCGTACTCGGTTTCCCCATTGGGACCCGTACTCGGTTTCCCCATCGGGATCCGTATTCGGTTTCCCCATCGGGATCCGTATTCGGTTTCCCCATCGAGATTCGTATTCGGTTTCCCCATCGGGATTCGTATTCGGTTTCCCCATCGGAATCCGTCTACGAAATCCCCATCGGGATCCGTCTACGGAATCCCCATCGGGATGCGTATTCGGTTTCCCCATCGGGATCCGTATTCGGTTTCCCCATCGGGATCCGTATTCGGTTTCCCCATTGGGACCCGTATTCGGTTTCCCCATCGGGCTCCGTATTCGGTATCCCCATCGGGATCCGTATTCGGTTTGCCCATCGGGATCCGTATTCGGTTTCCCCATCGGGATCCGTACTCGGTTTCCCCATTGGGACCCGTACTCGGTTTCCCCATCAGGATCCGTATTCGGTTTCTCCATCGGGATCCGTATTCGGTTTCCCCATCGAGATTC